ATATAAACCGTAAATTATGTTGCCCACCGTCACAAGTACTTTGACGAGCACGCAATTTCTCAAGGATACATTTTTCGACGGCGGTTTTGTATGCACAAACATTTGTTTCGGTGTATAGTCGATTACATTACGGCAGGATGCCCATATTTCCAACAACGTCAAGATGCAAAAGGTGGTTTACTCCCTTCCAAAAATTCGCCATCGTGCTTCTTATCATAACACATGTCAGCCCCCTTAATGCGCTAGATGAGAATGTTAGGATGTCTGCACATACTGCATGAGAAAGCCTTTACAAATTTCATAAGTATCTCATAAGGTTGTATGGTCTACGATATTTGCATAAACCTAGTTACAGTGACATCCAAAAATTGCATGGTTATCGTGAAAATGTGCATTACTTCCATGAAATGTTAAAAAGCTTGGATTGCACTCCACTGGGAATGGCAAAACTGCCTGAATGTACTTCATAGTCAATACACATGAGGTCATCATGACTATCCAATGATCATACTTGATGTTCTGGACTAACATGATTTTTGGATTTGGCATGCCTTATTATGTGCTCTCTGTTCCTAAAATGACACATGTCACCAATATTCAACAACATGTATGTTGGATTAGGTGTCTAAGCTCATAACTATAATTGGTATATACTTGAAATGATAATAGCACAGTCCTTTTGGGTTGTCCTCAAACTTAGCAATTGGACATGATGATTTTTAGAGAGAGATATTAATTTATTATGTGAATAATAAATTAAATAAATGGTTTATTAATGTGTTATGAAAATGATATATTAATTATAAATTATATTATTTAATTAATAATTACTCAAAAATTAATTGAAATTAGTTTTGGGATAAATTCGATTAATTAAAAGTACAAGGACTGTTTAGTTATTTATCGATAGTTGAGGAATGAAGGCTCTAGAACCTCATGGAATGAGGTGGACGAAAATCTATAGGGCAAGCCTAAGAGTTTTCGTCCAAGGCCCTTGTATAGGTGATTGGGCTGCCTGGTCACCAAGCAAAGGGATCTAGGGCATATCCCTTAAACCCTAGCTTTGGCACAAAGTATCCTCAACTATAAGGAGCCTCCTAGCCCCTTGATTTCGTGACTCCTTCTCTTCCCAAGCCTTGGACGAAATCTTGTCTCCCATCTCCTCTCTTTTGTATTATCCTCTTGCTAGCTTGGGTGTGATTCCATTAGAGGCACGACACTTGTGGTGCTTGCTTCCAAGAGATCTACAAAGAGGAATTCTAGTTGTTTGTTATAACAACTAAAATGTATGTAATCCTAAAACCTTCTCATGTTAATTTCGAAAATACCCTAGGGTTTCCAGGTTTCCTTTTCATGTTCTTAGTTATAGGTTCAATAGAGAAAACATAGATCATATTTAGGTTGCATGCAAACTTAAGGGTTTTAATTTTGTTTGTTTACCTAAATCCCATCAATGTATAACGAGACTGCACTAGATTCTTCATTTGTAGTACATGTTACACCTTACATGTACGTATATTATCTCATAGACGGGATCTATCCTGAGAGTTTTACTTTTGTTAAAACATTGTCTTGTCCTAATGATAAAAAAAGGTTGAAGTTTAAGAGAGCTTAGGAAAAGGCAATGAAAGATGTTGAAAGAGCATTGGCACATACTGCAATACCCCATAATTTCTTTTGTGTATTGTCCTAATGATTAAAAGAACATTGGCACATACTGCAATACCCCATAATTTTTTTTCCAGGGAGAAATAGACGAGTGATGTAATGTATACTTTTATCATATAACATAATCTGATTCTAAAAGACGAAGGAAGTGCGATATATGAGTATGACGAAAATGAGATCGTTTAACCGACACAACCACTAGAGATTGGAAGCGAAGATATAGTACTTGTAAGAAGATGAAAAGTTCGTAATGTTGAGATCCAACATGATCTTCATAGAGACTTGATGGAACAAATTTGAATGGTAGACCACATTGATCTTAATTCGAAGCCTGTCGATGATCTAGAAGGATAATTTTCGGATGACGACTTATTTTAGATTGTACTAGCTCTGAGATTTTAAGTTTTTAATTTTTTAATTTTGCAAGTTTTTAAGGTTTTAAGGTTTTAATTTATTGTTATTTCTTATTATTTTCTAGTAGTAAAAAGTAGTTTAAAAAATTGTTATAGTTTATTTTGTAAAAGTGTGGCAACCCACCCCTAAATAACAAGAAGTTAGTATGGTGTGGCAAAAGTGAGGTGACGCCTACATGGTAGCAAAAATAGTATGAAAAGAATAACACAACTCCTTCTAGCCATATGGAGTTAATAGAAGGTTATTATGTTCCACAATTAGGGGTTTTAGGAATGATATAATCTTTAGAGATGAAGGTTATTATGTTTCTTCATCTAAACGAAATCCATAACCCTATTGCTACCATATATACCTTTGATGACCTTACACCCTAAGCTTTTACCATTTTTTTGAATTTCCACAACCATTTTCTAATAACATACCTTTTTATAGCGAATAGACTTCCAAATCCAATCCCCTTACTCTTTTCTGTCAAGATTTTTTCCCATTTAATCCATGCCATTGATCTTTCATCTTTAACACCTCCTTAGAAGAAATTTCTCCTAAGAATCTCTACTTTTGTATAACTCCAATTGGAACCCTATATGTAGAGAACCATAAAGATAGAGAATTAATAGTTTCTGAGTCCTCTGAGGAGAAACTTAATGAGGGTTCGTTAGCATAAAAAGAGGGAGAGTTTGCTTTCCAATAATTAATTTCGTAGGAAACTTATCAAATATCAGCTTCCATGCACAAATTTCATTCATGTTCTTACCAATAGAAATACCCAAAAATATATCTAGAAAGTCGGAAGCATTAAAAATAGTAACTGAGACCATGTTTTCCACTTCTATTTTTTCTACCATAATTCTTAAAACTTATTCTTGGACATATTGATTTTAAGCTCGAAGGCAAGTTAGAATACCTCGAGCAACCGATTTGTAACGACCCAACTTTCTCAATAAAACATTCTGGGGATTTATCAGGTTTTTCTATAAATTACGGAATTCAACTTCAAAAACATTTTATATCCCAGGATATCAAGGGGTTTACAACATATCATAACCATTGTT